CGTTTCAGCCATTTGGATTTCTTCTTTTGGAAAGTTTCTGTTCATTTCATCACCCCTTTTTTTGATGGGGTTAGATGTTTTCTTCTTTAGAGTTCAAACATTGCTTTGTTATCCTTGATATCAATGCAAATCAGATGGGTATTGGGTAAATATTCTTTCCCATTCTGTATATTGTCTTTGTATTCTGGTTACTATATTTTCTTTTTGCGCTATTTGGGTCACAGCCGGCAATGCACAAGGGCTACTCCTGGCTCTGCACTCAGGAATTACTCCCGGCAGTGCTCAGGGGATTGTATGGGATGCTGGGAATCGAACCAGGGTCGGTCACGTGCAGGAAATGCACTACTCACTGTGCTATTGCTCCATCCCCAATGTATCTTTTGAGGTGCAGAAACTTCTTAATTTAAGATAATTCCATTTGTTTATCTCTGTTTCCCCTTGGTTGGTCAGTGGAGTGTTGTCTTTGAAGATACCATTAGCCTCAGTATCGTGGAGGGTTTTGCCAAACTTGTCTTCATTGTATCTTATAGATTTTGGCCTGATATTGAGATCTTTAATCCATTTTGATCTGACTTTTTGTGCATGGTGTTAGGTCGAAGTCTAAGCCCATTATTTTGCACGTGGTTGTCCAGTTATGCCAGTACCATTTGTTGAAGAGGCTTTCCTTGTTCCACTTCAAATTTCTTGCTCCCTTATCAATCATTAGAATTTCATACATTTGGGGTTGTATGTTCGTATATTCCACCCTGTTCCGTTGGTCTGTGGCCCTGGCTTTGTTCTAGTACCATGCTGTTTTAATTATTTGTGGTAGAGTTTGAGGTTGTGGAGGGTAATGCCTCTCCACGTCTTTTTCTCAGGAATTGCTTTAGCTATTTGTGGGCGTTTGTTGTTCCTTATGAATTTCAGGAGTGCTTGATCTATTTCTTTGAAGAATTTCATAGGTATCCTTATAGGGATCGCGTTGAATCTGTATAATGCTTTCGGGAGTATTGCCATTTTGACGATATTGATTCTTCATATCCATAAGCAGGGGATATGTTTCCATGTCCTCTTGTCCTCTTTTATTTCATGGAGTAGCGTTTTGTAGTTTTCACTGTAGAGGTCCTTTAACTCTTTAGTTAGGTTGATTCTGTAGTATTTGATTTTCTGGGGCACAATTGTGAACAGGATTATATTTTTTCATGTCACTTTCCTACCTCATTATTTGTGTATAGGAAGGCCTTGGATTTTTTGCATTGATGTTATAGCCTGCGACTTTACTGTACAAGACTATTGTTTCTAGGAGTTTCTTGGTAGAGGATTTAGGATTCTCAAGATATAGTATCGTATCATCTGCAAATAGTGATAGCTTGATTTCTTCCTTTCCTACCTGGATACCTTTGATGTCTTTTTCTTGCCTAATTGATATTGCAAGTATTTCCAGTACTATGTTAAACAGAAGTGGTGATAGTGGGCATCCTTGTCTTTTCCCTGATCTAGAGGAAAGGCCCTTAGTTTTTCCCCATTGAGGATAACGCTTGCCATGGGTTTGTTGTAGATGGCTTTTACCATCTTGAGGAAAGTTTCTTCAAAACCCATTTTTTGTGAGAGTTTTCATCATAAACGGGTGCTGGATCTTGTCGAAAGCTTTCTCTGCATCTATTGATATGATCATATGGTTTTTATCTTTACTGTTGTTGATATGATGGATTGTGTTGATTGATTTCCGAAAGTTAAACCAATCTTGCATCCCTGGGATGAATCCCACTTGGTTGTGGTGTATGATCTTTTTGATGAGTTGTTGGATTCTGTTTGCTAATATTTTGTTGAGGACCTTCGCATTCGTGTTCATCAGGGATATTGGCCTATAGTTTTCTTTGTTGGTGGTGTCTTTTTTTTGCTTTACATATTAGGGAGATATGTGCCTCATAGAAGCTGTTTGGGACAGTTCCTGTTTTTTCAATTTCCTGGAAAAGCTTGAGGAAAACTGGCAAAAGGTCTTATTTGAATGTTCGGAAGAATTCACTAGTGAACCCGCCTGAGCCTGGGCTTTTGTTTTTGGGAAGACTTTTGATTTCCTCTTCAATTTCCTTGATATGAATGGGTCTATTCAGGTATACCAAGTCTTCTGGGTTTAATCTTGGGAGATTATAGGAATCCAGGAATTTATCCATTACTTATAGGTTCTCTTGTTTCATGGCATACAGACTCGCAAAGAAGTCTCTGATGATCATTTGAGTTTCATTGGTTTTTGTTGTGAGAGTTTTTTGTTGTCCCCTTTTTCATTTCTGATTCAGTTTATTAGGGTTCTCGCTCTTTCTTTCTTTGTGAGTCTTGCTAGTGGTTTATCTATCTTATTTATTTTCTCAAAGAACCAGCTCTTGGTTTCATTGACCTTTCGGCTTGTGTTTTTGGTTTCCATGGCATTAATTTCTGCTCTAAGTTTTATTATTTCTTTCCTTTGGCCAATATTGGGTTCTTTTGTTGGTCTTTTTCTAAGATCTTGAGCTGTGTGGTTAGGTCATATATGTAGGCCTTTTTTCTTTCCTTAGAAATGCTTGCAACTCTATATTTTTTTCTCTTAGTATGGCTTTAGCTGCGTCCCATAGGTTCTGGTAGCTCATGTCTTCATTCTCGTTTGTTTCCAGGTATCTTTTGATTTTGTCTTTGACTTCCTTCCTGAACCCACTCATTGTTCAACATTGAGTTGGTTAATTTCCAGGTGTTTGATTTGTTTTTCGATGTCTTTGTGTGATTGACTTCTATCTTCAATGCATTGTGGTCTGAAAAGATTGTTGATACTACTTCTATTTTCCTGATTCTATTGAGGTATGTTTTGTGGCCTAGCACGTGGTATATTTGGAGAATGTTCTGTGTGCATGGAGAAGAATGTGTATTCATTCTTTTTGGGGTGTAAAGCCCTGTATAGGTCTATTAGCCCTCTCCTATTTCTTCCTTCAAAGCCAATGTTTCTTTCTTGAGTTTTGTTCTTGTTGATCTATCCAGAGGTGACAAGATAATGTTGACGTCTCCAACTACTATTGTGTTGCTAGCAATGTCCTCCTTAAAATCTGTTAGCAGTTGTTTTAAGTACTTAGCTGGTCCCTCATTAAGTGTGTATACATTTAAGAGTGTGATTTCTTCCTGTTGTACATATCCATTGATAAATAGAAAATGGCCTTGGCTGTTCCTTCTAATCTTTTTCAACCTGATATTGATGTTGTTGGATACTAGTATGGCCACCCCAGCTTTTTTGAGGGAGGTGTTTGCTTGCAGGATTGTTTTCTATCCTTTAACTTTGAACCTGTGTTTGCTCTGATTGTTCAGATGAGTTTCTTGTAGACAGCAGAATGTTGGTTTCAGTTTCTGGATCCATTTTGCCACTCTGTGTCTCTTGATTGGTGCATTTAGACCATTGCCATTGAGAGAGATTATTGTCATGAGGTTTTGTGCCATCTTTCTGTAGGGATTGGTTGTGCTTATAAATGTTTTCCTTCTTATCTTACAGGAGCCCCTTAAGTCCTTCTTTAGATTTGGTTTTGAGTCTATGAAGTTCCTGAGCTGTTGTTTATCTACAAAATGGTGTATTGTTCTATCGAGTTTGAGTGAGAGTTTATCTGGATAAAGCATTCTTGGTGAGGCATTCATTTCATTGATTTTTTCACTATATTCCACCATTGCCTTCGGGATTGGAGGGTTTCCTCAGATAGGTCTGCTGTGAATCTAATGGGTGCTCCTTTGTATGTGATTTACTTCTTTGACCTTGCTGCTTATAGTATTGTGTCTCTGTGCACAGCATCCATCGTTCTTACTATGGTATGCCTTGGAGTGTTTTTATTCAGGTCTCTTTTAGATGGCACCCTTCTGGCTCCTTGGATCTGGAAGTCTGCATTCTTTAACTCTTGGATCTTTTCATCAATGATTTCTTTGACTGTGGCTTTTTCATTGGGGTTCCCACCCTGTTCTTCTGGTTCTCCAATGATTCTAATGTTGTTCCTCTTGGCATCATCCCCCAGGTCTCTGATTTTCCTTAGAGCTATTTTGAGGTCTTTTCCCATTGCTTGTTTTTCCCTATGTGATAAGTGTTGCTTATCTTCAAACTCACTGATTCTGTCTTCAGCTGTATTCATCCTACTGCTAAGGGCACCTACTGAGTTTTTAATTTCGTCTACCAAATCCTTTATTTGTGACACTTATTTTTTTTATTAAAAATTTTTTTAGGGCTGGAGCGATAGCACAGCGGTAGGGCGTTTGCCTTACAAGCGGCCAACATGGCCGACCCGAGTTTGATTCCTCCACCCCTCTCGGAGGGCTGGCAAGCTACGGAGAGTATCTCGCCCGCACGGCAGAGCCTGGCAAGCTACCTGTGACGTATTCGATATGCCAAACACAGTAACAACAAGTCTCATGATGGAGATGTTACTGGGCCCGCTAGAGCAAAATTGATGAACAACGGGAGGACCGTTTATATTATAAAAAAGTTTTTAATAGTGAGACATCATGAGGTACAGTTGCAGACTTACACATTTTTGTGCTTGGGTTTCAATTATACAATGATCAAATACCCATCCCTCCACCGGTGCCCATTTCCCACCACCACGGATTCCAGTATCCCTCCCACCCCCCAACCCCCCATCCCACCCTGCCTCTGTGGCAGGGCATTCCCTTTTGTTCTCTCTCTCTCTTATTGGGTGTTGGGGTTTGCAAAAGAGGCAATGGGTGACAATCATATTTAGTCTATAGTCTACTTTCCGCATGCTTCTCCCATCCTGGGAGGGTCCTCCCAACACCTGTATTTGGTGTTCCCTTCTTTATCTGAGCTCCCTTTCCCCCTAGCATGTGTGGCTGGCCTCCAAGTCATGGAGTAAAATTCCTGGTACTAATCTCGGCCATTCTTGGGTGTTAGTCTCCTATTTTGTTACTTTATGTTCCCCAGATGAATGCAATCTTTCTATGTCTATCCCTTTCTTTCTGAGTCATTTCGCTTAACATGATACTTTCCATGTAGTACCACTTGTATGTCAATTTCGTGACTTCATCTTTTCTAACAGCTACATAGTACTCCTTAACCGTATGCGTGTTGCAGGCCGAAGCCTCTTCCATCCTTGTCAAGGGGAGTGCTAACCTTCTCTCCTTTCATACAGCGATAGCACAGCGGGTAGGGCGTTCGCCTTACAAGTGGCCAACATGGCCGACCCGAGTTCGATTCCTCCACCCCTCTCGGAGAGCCCGGCAAGCTACCAAGAGTATTCGATATGCCAGACACAGTAACAACAAAGGCTCCAATGGAGACGTTACTGGGCCCGCTCGAGCAAATCGACGATCAACGGGAGGGCCTTTACCTTTACATAGTACTCCATTGTGTAAATGTACCAAAGTTTCTTTAACCAGTCATCTGTTCTCGGGCACTCAGGTTTTTTCTAGATTCTGGCTAAACAGACAATTGCAGACGTCACTTCGACTATACATTTTTGCCTCTCTGGGATATATTCCCAGGAGTGGTATTGCTGGATCAAGTGGGAGCTCAATTTCTAATTTTTTGAGAATCATCAATACTGTTTTCCAAAAGGGCTGAACCAGTTGGCATTCCCACCAACAGTGAAGGAATGTTCCTTTCTCACCACATCAGCGCCAGCACCGGTTGCTTTTGTTCTTGTGGATATGGGCCAGTCTTTGCGGTGTGAAGTGATGTCTCATTGTGGTTTTGATCTGCATCTCCCTGATGATTAATGATGTGGAGCATTTTCTCATGTGCCTTTTAGCCATTCGGATTTCTTCTTTGTGAAAATTTCTATTCATTTCTTCTCCCCATTTTTTATGGGGTTGAATGTTTTCTTTTTGTGGAGTTCAACCAATACTTTGTATATCCTTGAAATTAACCCCTTATCAGATGTGTAGTTGGCGAATATCCTTTCCCATTCTGTAGACTGTCTTTGTATTTTGGTCACTGTTTCTTTTGAGGTGCAGAAGCTTCTTAGTTTAAGATAGTCCCATTTGTCTATCTCTGTTTTCACTTGCTTGGCCAGCGGTGTGACATCGTTGAAGACACCATTAGCTTCTATGTCATGGAGGGTTTTGCCAACTTTTTCCTCAATGTACCTTATAAATTCTGGTCTGATGTTGAGGTATTTAATCCACTTAGATCTTACGTTTGTACATGGAGTTAGGCAGAGATCTGAGCCCATTTTTTTGCATGTAGCCATTCAGTTTTGCCAGCATAATTTGTTAAAGAGGCTTTCCCTGCTCTACTGCACTTTTCTTGCCCCCTTATTGAAGATTAGATGCTCGTATGCTTGGGGGGAGATGTCAGTATATTCAACCCTGTTCGATTGGTCTACAGCTCTGCCTTTGTTCCAGTACCATGCTGTTTTAATTATTACTGCCTTGTAATAGAGTTTGAAGTTAGGGAGGTTGATTCCTCCCATTTTCTTTTTCCCAAGAATTGCTTTAGCTATTCGTGGGGGCTTATTTTTCCATATAAATTTCAGGAGTGTTTGCTCCACTTCTTTGAAGAATGTGTGACACTTATTTTTGTAGCTTTTTTTATTTCTGTTCTCATTTCTTCCTGTTTTTTCTCGACTATCCATTCTACTCTTTCTTTCATGTCTTCCTTTAGTTTTATGGATATTGCCTCCATTGATTCTTTGAGTAGATACTTGAAAATCCTCTGCATTTCATCTCTGAATTCTTTATCGGAGAGAGCATATTTGTGGGTAACCCCTGTTGAGGATTCGGGACTCTTTTCTTCGTTCTCTCATTGTAGTGGAGATTTGTGCTGTTTCTTCATGTTGTTTTGCTTGTCTAGTGGTAAAACCCTGGGATTCACTAGTACTGTTCCCTTTTATCATGGGAAAGGATTTTGGATAAGGTCGTTCAATGGTGGTCACCCTTTTACCTTTCTAGAGTCTGACCTTCCTCTCAGGCATTATTCTTTGGCTTATGACAGGCATCTAGTGAAGTTTTGGAGGAGGTGCTCTTTAATATTGAGCTTGTACAGCTTCTTGCATACTGGTCTTTTGCTAGAATTGGAGTAGGCCAGTGGATTATTGTTGTATTTTAGTTGAGGTGGCCAGAATTTTTTCCACAGAATTAGGTGATAAAGGCTAGGATGAAAGTCCAGAGTGCTGGGAGTGGGAAATATAACTGCGGCTGCGTGAGCGTCCGCCCACCTCAGAGAAGGCTATGCCCACTTTTGAGGAAGCCACACACCCTAAAGTGGTGCCCACACCCCCAGCCAGTCCAGATTCTAGTCCACAGACCTGTTGGGGCAGCGACTAGTTGGGCTGGCGCTTGCTGCAGAAATGGAGGCAGGTGCCACAGGCTGGGGTCCCAGCAGCCGGGGCTGGCTTTTAGGGTCATGAGGTTATGTGGGGGACGGGGTGCCAACCCTGCTGCCGGGTTGGGTACCTGGATGAGTGGGCAGAAGGAGGTGGAACGTCTCATATTTGGGCTTGTGCGGTGTGCCTCAATTCCTGTTCCCCGCAGACCAAGGATGAAAACCAGCCATTCTCAGGGGATCTAGTTAGACGTGCGGCCCCTGGCCAAATTGTTTTTACTGATTATAAATCATAAATTTATTTTAAATGAACTTTTAGAATTAAAAAAATTTATTAGTGAATCACTATGAGGTACAGTTACAGACTTACAAACTTTTGTGCTTCTGTTTCAGTTATATAATGCTCGAGTACCCATCCCTCCACCACTTCCCATTCTCCACTACCAATGTTCCCAGTATCCCTCCCACCCTCCACCTATTCCCCCGACCTCACCCCGCCTCTGTGGCAGGGCATTCCCTTTTATTTTCTCTCACCTTTTGGGCTTTGTGGTTTGCAATAGAGATATTGAGTGGTCATCGTGTTCAATTTATAGTCTACTTTCAGCATGCATCCCAAGTGGGTCCTCCAACCACACTTTACTTGGTGTTCCCTTCTCTATCTAAGCTATAAGAATACTCATGAAATTCTTCAAAGAAATGGATCAAGCACTCCTGAAATTCATATGGAATACCAAAATTTTTTTTTGCAGGAATATTTTTGCTTCAGGGTGAATCCCTAAAATATAAAATAAAAATTATGCTTTTCTTCTAGTTTCAAAAGCTGATACTAACCCATAATTATAAAGTGTTATCACCAAAAGAAGTAATCATCCATTATAGCTATTTCCAATATCTTCAAAACAACAGAGAGTGCTTATATTGCATTATTACCTTTAAATACATTACATTTAAATGTTTATAGTGATTTTTACCTCTCTGACTTATTAATCTTCTGGTCTCTTTCTATAACTAGCAGTGATGTTCTTGAGGATAAGGTAATAACTATGGGTTTTGCAACTTTGTCTACTTAGAAACTGGCCAGGTAATCAAGAAATATGTTTTTGAAATAAAAATTCAGGACCATATCAGGGGCACTGAATGACTTATGCCTGAGTCTTAGGCACTAGGAAAAAAAAAGAGTAGATGCATGTAGCCACATGGAGTGCAGGCCATGGAAGCAGGAGTACCCTTATTTCTTCTTTCATTTCGAGGGGCAATGAGGGGTACAATCAGCTGTGCTAATGGCTTACTATTGGTTTCATGCTCAGGGATCACTCCTGGTGGTGCTTTAAGGGAACATATGTGGTATTGAGGATCAAACCTGGGTCAGTATTGTGCAAAGCAAGTGCTTTACAGGATGTACTATCTCTCTGGCACACTTCTTTTCCCCCCATTTCTTATAAAATATTATAGTTTAGGTAATATAATTATAGTAGTATTAATTCATATGATATTGATGTACAAATTTACTGTACCCCCCAACACCAAAGTGCCCATTAGTCTCTACTAATGTCCCTGTGTTGTTGTTTATTATTTATCTCTGTCTTTCTCCATCCTTTAGACCACTGCTTGGTAATCTGAGTTTTGTGATCCAAGAGACCAACTACTTCTTTCTCAGGTTGAAGAAGATAGTGTGTGCCTCAGAAACCCTTTCTAAGTACTTGGAAATTTTATTCTAGGGCTTGTGGATTCCTATAGAACCCATTTATCAGGGAACCCATGACTTTATAAGACCATTTATTATAGGTCAAAGCAAATCATTGACCTAATGGGGATCTTGGAGTAGGAACTGTGCGAGTTTATGGAATTGCGTGGTTTATGGGGACAAGGAAAAACACCTTTATTGATGCAAACTTTTCTTCTCCCTCTCTTTTTTTTGCCAGACCTAGAAGTGTTCAGGGCTTATTCCTGAATCTATACTCAGGGATCACTTCTGGTGGATGCAACCTGGGTTGTCTGCATGTAGAGCAAGTAGCTTTACCCCTGTACTCCGGTCCCTGATGAAAAAAATTTTAAATGGCCAAAGGTTATCTTCCTCCCTTACAGGCACATAAGATAAAAATAAATATTTCTTCTGATGACTTAAGTAAGCCTTCACATTATTTTGTAATAGCTTTTCATTGAGACCTGTAACAGTTTAGAAGTGCAGGAACTAGACTAAATGAATAGAGGGTCCCAGGCTACCACCTTTTTTGCTGGGATATATTCTAGATCATATGTAATTTTTAATAGATAAGGAATGACACGATATACCAGAGAGCATGTATTCTGGCCTTTAAAGATTTTTAAAGAAAGTTTTAGTGGGGCACTTATAAACCCCGGGGCACAATAAATTTAAAGGAAGTAAATTTTTTTCTCTATATAATCTTCTTTCCTAAAATGGCTAAAACGAGGGTTTTGATAAAAGCATTTCTCGACTATATTCCCAGCCCCATTTCTCTCTCTCTCAGCACTTGCTCTCTGGACTCTGTCCTCTCTCCTGGACCTCCAGGATCAGGTAGGGCAGTGAGTCCAGACATGGGACCCAGTACAGGCAGGCCACTCAAGGCCAGGCAGGGACAGAATACAGCCCCAGGAAAGTTACTCATGAAAGCTCAGGTTCAGGCAGGATTCAAATGCCCAGGTACTGATCACAGAAATCTCATGCACACACATGTGGTCGTGGTCAGAGACAAGATACACGGATAGAGAAAGTGAAGCAGGGATAAGACAAGGAAGTTGTTCACTGGACTGGACAGCGTGGTACTGGACCAGTGACTTTGTTCATGGGTGGCGAGTATATGCGTGGGATAGGACAGGGAAGTTATTCATGGTACTGGGCAGTGTCAGGAA